TGACACTCCCATCCAAATTATCCCAGTCATTGAATCAATCCACCTCATAGAGGGCCTTCCTCTCCTGCGCTGTCCCTCCACCCTCCCAAGCATGATGTCCCTCTCTAAGGACCGGTCCCTCCTTACAGCATGTCCAATGAATATCACACTTAATCAATGTAACACCTTTAGGAGGTAGGCACCTGCTATCCTTATTTTTAAGATGAAAAAATTAATGTTCATGAATCTAAGTATCCAAGGCCACACAATTGGTGAATAACAAAACCAGGATCAAAACCTAGAGAGTTTGGTAATGTTTTAATGTCTCATTATGTTATCTTTCAAACTCTTTATAATTATTCTTTTATTATTATTATTAGACTTATTTACAATTGGTTCAAAATATTTCATGCTAAAAAAGTTGTTAGTTCAGTTTTCTTTTTCAGATTCTCATTAAGCTTGCCACACTTTTTAATGTCAAAGAAGAAAGTAGTGAAAACATCATCTTAGAAAAAAAATCAACTCATATGACAGGAAACACTTTTAAATTTCTTTTTAAAAATTTGCTTTATTATTACATGACTTTTCTTAAACTAATGCAGAGGATCTTTCCCCAAATTTATATAGATATTTGTAAACTCAATTTTGTGCTCAATTTTGCTATTCTTTCACAGATGTCTTTAAATCTTAATTCTACTGTAAATTGAAACAGGTAGGCTTGGTAATTGAAACTAGGTTAGATTAGCTTCAATCTGAGCATTTCAAATATTATAATATGCTAGAATGTGTTGCTATTCATAAGAATAGCTTCTGGCTAGATAAATTGCTAACAAAGTTAGCCAAATAATTTCCAAAATTATTATGCTGTACTGTGGCCATGCATGTTCTTACTGTAATAAACACTCTGAACCATTGAGCTGAGAGTTTGATATGATGCCATCTTGATATTTCTAAGTATATTCATGAATGAATGAAAGGAAAAAACAAAATTGAGACATCTAAAACTACTGAATTTTAAAACTTACAAAATTTTTTACATTTAATACTTAATTGCTGAACCCACAATTACCTTTGCTACAGTTTCCTTTTCCACTGTAATTTCATGCCCATCTTGCCCCATACCATTCTCAAAAAATAGAATTCGGACTGAAATCTTCTTCTCAATAAGTTTCTTCATTCTAATAGAAAGAACAGGCTTGGTTTTCTTTCTTTTGACATCAGTAGGGAGCATCAGTCCATTCATTGTCCAAGTTACTTTCTTCATTAACAACAGATGGTCTAGAAGATAATTTTTTAAAGTCAATATTTGGCTTCAAAATTAAAAATGGACACATCCTGCTTCCCCTCCCCCTCTTATCTATATCATATACACTGGCCATTCTCCATTTAGATGCTGGTTTTCTGAAATGCTACCACCAGCTTCCCACTAACCGTGACATAAGCTGTAGCAAGCTGTCTGCACTGATAGCCTGCATAAATCATAATTTCTGAAGGGAACAGATGTTCGGGGTATGAAAGAGTAATACCACAATTTAGTCCTAATTAAAATTCACCTTAGCATGCCTCTATCAATGATCAGGTGCACCCAGTCTCTCACCCATCAGAAGGGTCCAATGTCCTTTGCCTACTAGAAAACAAGATGACTGAGTTCTGAACTTTTGTGTTCTTTAGGGTTGGGGAAACATTATTTTCCTTTTTATGTAATTTTTTATCCTTATCACCTTAAAGAGGACAACCTCCAAACTGTAACTTAATCCCATAATTCTGCTGTGACTTGAGTGACTAGAATGAAGGAGCCTTCCAGGACATTTTTCATGAGATTCAAACTATCTCACTAAGAAAAAAATGTGGTTATTCATTAACAGTTTACTTTGACCTGTACATTTTCTGAGATGTGTACAGGAATTTAAGCTTCAAAACTCCCACTAATATTAATGGGAGTGCACCTAAATTACTATGTATGACTTTGAAAATATAAGGGTAAGAAAAGTGTGAATTATTACACAGTAAGTTGCTGTCAGCAATCCTCTTTTTTCAAGAGGTTTCATTGCACAAATAAATAATTTGTACTGAGCTATTTATTTTACTTTGTGCATCCAATTGAGTTTAGATTGTGTATTCTTTTCACATAAATTATAAAAAGATAATTACCCCTCCCTCATCTGCTCTGTATTTGTCCTAATGAATGACAAATAATTTTCTTTACATATAAATGAAAATATGTATATTTGTCCAAATTTACAAATAACTATTCTCACTTATCACTTACCTTGAGAGAAGCATTGCCTCTTCGACACATAAACAGTACGTTACATAAAAGTACCTCACATTGATATAAAATATAAGCAAATAACCTTCAAATCCCAGAAGAGCTACATTAAATGTTAAAAAATTCACTCATTCTCTCTCCCCTTTCCTCACTTTCTAGTTCTCTATATCTCTGTCACTGATAGATAGATGATAGATAGATGATAGATAGATAGATAGATAAGAGAGAGAGAAGCAGGAGTGGCATTCATTTCCTAAACTACATGCCTCTGGAAATTATTAATTTTGAGAAACAATAGTTTTAGAAAGGCTTCCTGTCCTTTGTTCATAGGGTGGCTATGAGTCATACTCAACTTGATGCCAAACAACAACCTACAAACACATACATAGGGTCACTATGAGTTGCAGACAACTCGACCACACATAACAACAACATATCTACATATGACAAGAAGCTGCACTGTAATCTCCTGGGCTGACAGTTTGAAGCCACCAGTTGCTCTCCTCCTGTGCAATTAACTGCCTCCGAAAACCCACCAGACCATACATAGGGTCAGCTATGGGGTGGTTCCAACTCTGTGGTAAACAATAATATACAAACACATACACACACACAAGTAGGTAGAAATTTGACCAAAACTTGTAAAAAAAAAAATTTAAGGATATAGATGACATTTTTATCTCCTTCCTGGGACATATAACCCAGGGTCAATGGGTTAACTGACTGGGGTGTAAACAGGAAGGTTGGTTTATTTACCTTAAGGAAGGGCAAATCTGCAAATCATGCCATCAGCTGAAGCTAGATTTCAGCTGAACTCAATGGTTTTGCTCAATTTCCTCTGTTGCTCTACTGAGCGACAGAACTTCTGAATGGGTTCCACCTGTGAAGTTTCCCTCGGTAAATCACTTATACAAAAGTATTCAAGTTAAAAAAAAAAGTATTCATGTCAAGATCTGCTTCAAAGAACTTGACTTGTGACAGATTCAAAAAAGGAACCTGGTCAACTCCTTCTTTACCTATCTCTGAAAGCAAATAACTCTCTTAATTGTCAATCAGATAACACTAGCATATTTCTCTCATCCTGCTGTATGCAGTTGATTCTTACTCCCAGTGATCTTATAGGATAGAACAGAACTGTCCCATAAACTCAATTCATTGCTGTCATATCTGAACTGATTCATAGCTGACCTTCAGTTTTCTAAGGCTGTAAATCACACAGGAGATTGTCCATCTTTTTCCTGCTGTGTGGCTGGTGGACTGGAATCAGAAGAGAAGCATGGTCTTTTTTGGTTGGCAGCAAAACTCTCTTAAGACTAACTATGCCACCAGAACTGCCCCAGCAGGTTTCTGAATTTGTAATCTTTATGGGAGCTGATTACTAAATATTTTCTCTTCATAGCCACTGGAGGCTGCATATTTCTGACCTTTTAGTTACCAACTGAGTACTTAACTGTTGTGCCACCAGGACTCCTAAATTTCTCTCATAGCCTCCTATTATCAGTGAGAGCCTTCCAGTCGTGTGTTACTTTTTCCATCACATCACATTCTGTATTATAAATGAGGCTGAATTTTGATACAATATCAACTTTATCATTGTCTGAAGAAAGTTGTTGGAGGTCTAGAAGACTACCAACCACTCAGTCAGCAAGCAATCTGTTAGCTGGAACTCACAGTCACTCGTCCTACATGGCAGACTGTGCAAAAACATGAAAAGGATAGAGTTCCTTCCCTTAAACTTACAATTCATTGCCAACAAATTTATTCCAATGCATCTTTATCCCACAGCACTGAGTAGAAGTGCCATGTTTAGTTTCCAAAGGAGATGTGGTGGCTTTGGTCCATCAGGAGTTGCTCTGCTAACCCAAAACCTGAGCCTCTCTGCTGGATCAAATCTACAATCAGTTTTCAGCAATCTTCTCCTGTGCCATTTACAGCCTCCAGATAACCCACTGGAGGATTGATTAGAATAGGATTCTCAAGGCTGTAAATCTTTACTGAAGCAAACTACCATCTCTTTCTGCCATGAAATGGCTGATGAGCTCAAACAGTCAACTTTTCTGTTAACAGCCAAGTGCTTTAACTGCTGCACCACCAGAGCTCCTTATTATAACTTAATATTACCAAACTTTCTGGTCTTATATTACCCTATATATTCATTACATCTTGAGTGTAATATATTCATGCTTAACTTCATCCTTCATGTATTCAGACTCCAATTTTATCCAGTTAAGTATCTGCTCCACCCCTGAATGACTGGCCATCTTTCTGAATTTTAGTCTACTTGCAGGCTGGACTACACACCTATACATTAACCCATTCAGTAACGTTTTAGAACCTACAATCTGCCAACCACTCTGCTATGTACTAAGACTGCAATTATTCCAAGCATGTTTTTGAAATACATATCCTATATCTGCTTCCATATATCAATCCTTAGAAGGAGAAAACAAGTTTGGTATTTCTTATTAATTTTCTTCAGGGTTTGGACCATTTCCTTGTTTGCATAGGACACTAAATTTTAAGTCTCTAAATTGATCCATCTTCTATGATAGCTGACACCCACATCAAAAACCAGCCTCAACCTTTAGATGACTGATTCATGATTCACTGACCTCTGACAACATGAATCAGCATATTCCACTTGTAAGCCATTTCTCTGATGGGTTTGAGTTTCTGTGAGATGTGTAAGAGTATTATAGACCCAAAGACACAGATGGGAGTGGGACAAGAAATAAAGGATGGCAGAGATGATAGAGTGGTACAGCAGTTTGGAGAACAGTTAACCTCCACCTCATGTGAACTGTTGTTGGATTTTTTTTTGTGAATTCAAGTAGGACTTAACCCTTAGTTAACCCTCCAGCAGGTTTTCAGAGCACAGGAGAATTCCAGAAGCACAAGATGAAATTGCCTTTTTTTTTTTAATTGCCATTTTTCTCCAATAGAACCGATGATGGATTCAAACCAAGTACCTCTGAGTTGACAGCACAATTCCAGCACCCATGCTGTGACTCCACAACTAGCCTCAAATGAGCCTATATTATGATTTTGTATTCCCGATTTGCATTCTGAAAAGACACACTAAGCAATATGAAGACAGTCCAGGCGCATAAAAGCTCAGAAACAAGAACTTTCCTCTAGAATTTCCAGAGATAAAGCCTTCTCCTAGAGCTGGTGCCTGGAATTTGGACAGGGGGCCTCCTAAACTGTTGAGACTTAGCTGTTCTTTTTCTTGTATTGAGGGAATGGTCTGAATACCACTAATTACTTTATAGCTTAAGTATTTATAGTCAGCTTGTTTATCATTGGTCTTATTAGTACAGTAATTGTCTGTCAGTTTTCTGTACCAACGTAACTTATGGACGGCTGTGAAGGGGAAAGCTGGGCCATCAGTGTGTCAAATACTGGAAGGGTAACTCATGGTGAACAGGTTTTAGTAGAGCTAAAGTCGTAGGATGCAGGATTGGCCATAGACTTCTTAAATACCAGGACTTTGAAAAACCCTATGAATAATAGAGAAACATGCATAGTTATATAAGAGGTAGAATCAAGATTGAAAGTCAATTAAAAGAAGAGAAATAGCTGCAAACATCCTTTAATAGTTAGAACATGGAATGTATGAAATGTGAATATTGGAAAACCAGAAGTTGTGAAAATTAAATGGAACACATAAACATTCATATTCTAGGCATTAGTGAGATGATATGGACTGGCTTTGGTCACTTTCAACCAGACAAATGCATGATATACAATAACAGGAATGAAAAACATAAGAATGGTTTTGCATTCATAATTAAAAAGCCAATATCAAGTTCTGTCCTGATGTATAATGTTGTGATTCAATATGATCCATATGCGTATAATGAAGACCTGTTAATATTACTAGTATTCAAATATATACAACAACAGCTAATGCCAAAGAGGAGGAAATTGAAGATTTTTACAAAATTTTGCAGTCTGAAATTGAGCAAACAGTCAAGACGCATTAATGATAATTGGTGACTGGAATACA